CATTCTCGTACCGGCAGCCGGTACGCTTTCGACTAAGTTTGCGGCTATGCAATGCAGAAAACTCATGTTGATGAGGGGTTGTTTGTGTGTGTGTCTGTGTGTTCGTCTGTACCGATTTTTTATCTCGAGACAGGCAAAAGCTGCAGGGCTGAACCTTTGGAGACATAATCTAAATGCACGTGCGGGCCCCATCCCCGAAGTGGGCGGTCTTGCCCGCGTGCTACCCACGTAGGAGCCTGCCAAAACTTTTCTCGGGTAAGTTGCTAACTCGCGAACCAGAAAAGCTAGAAAGCTGAAATTTTAAGGAGACGTTCCCCGTTCAAGTAGGCATTAATGAGCTCAAACCCAGCCTCCGAGTAAGTGTGGTACCCGCGTAAGGGACCGCCAAAGTTTTTCCCGGGTAATTTTATAACTCGGGCATCTGAGAAGCTAGAAAGCAGAAATCTTAAGGGGGTGTTCCCCGTTCAAGTAGGTATTAAAAAGCTCATATCCAGCCTTTGGGTATGCGTGGTACCGGCGTACGAGCCCGTCAAATTTTTCTCGGGAAGTTGTTAACACACGAACCGGAAAAGCTAGAAAGCTGAAATTTTAAGAGGATGTTCCCCGTCCACATTAGCCTCAACGAGCTCAAACACAGCCCTCGGTCATGCGTGGTACCTACACACGGATTCACCAAAGTTTTCCTCAGTTAGGTTCATAACTCGGGAACCTGAAAAGCTGGAAGACTGTAGTTTTAAGATGTTCCCCGTCCAAGTAAGTCTCAGCGAGCTCAAACCCAGATATCGGGTATGCGTGGTATCCGCGTGCGGACCCGTGAAATTTTTTTCCAGTAAGTTGCTAACTCAGGAGCCAGAAAAGCTAGAAAGCTGGAATTTTAAGGGGGTGTTTCCTGCCAGTTCTGGCGGCCAGTCTTAATTTGTTTAGCTGGAAACATTTGCCGAAAACCCGATGCTGGTAGCGACGAAAACTGCGGGGAACTATGCAAAAAATGCATCATCGCACGGGCAGCCCGTAAGTTGGCCAATTATTTCTATTGCATAGCAACGCATAAATGTGATGAGAGATAGTGCGTGGACGGATCACTTTGACCTTACTAAAAGATTTCATGTAACAAAATACTGTAAAAATGAAACAGCATTTCGAAGCTTTTGCTTCAAATTTTTTAAACATAGTTGTAGACTTCATCGCCGTTACCCGGCGAAAAGCAACGCCGAAAAATATATGAACGTGACCATACCGTTTCACGGTCTTGGAATCCAGAACGCTACGACTATGAGGAAATTGAAGTGGACGAATTAGATCAAGAAATTGTTGCATCTGAGGATAGGGCCATGCACATTGCGCTGCCTGTTGCCGAGCCATATACGGATCCATTCCAGGTCATTTTCCGTTGCATTTTTTTTTATTTTCATTAATTTCATTAAACAAAAATGCGGTTTGCGTCCAGTTACACTGATTTTCATGTCTTGTGCCACAACAGTCACAAATGAGTAGTGTCGCGTTCCAGGCGGGCCCGTGCAAGCATGAGTTTTTCCTGAATTTCATGCTGTATTAAGGTCGCTTAGAGTCCCAGCAGTTAGAATTTGTGGCGTACTGAATGTCAGGTGGTGGCGCATCGAGCGACAGCTCGAGATGCTACTAGCTAGGCCAGCATTCTTTGAGCACACTTGCACGCTGTTGTTTCGGTGAATCCCGATCTTAATTCGGCAGACCATTTGTAATTGTGCAACACCATGGTAACTGATCATGAGACATCCCCTTAAAATTGCAGCTTTCTAGTTTTTGTGGTCCCCGAGTTAGCAATTTTCCTGCCAAAAATTTTCGCGGAGCCGTACATGAGAACCACGCATTCCTAGCCCTCAGTTTTAAGTTTTTATTTTGTGCTTCGGCTGGGAACATCCCCTCAGAATTCCAGCTTCCTAGCTTTTCTGGTTCTGGAGTCAGCGATTTTTCCGCCCAGACTTTCAAGTGCTCATACACGGTACCTAGATATGCGTGAAGGCTGATACCGTGGTCCTGAGGTAGCATTTGACCGTGGGGCCCACTTGCAAAATTTTGGCGCCGGAGCTTACTTGGTTGCCGAGTTGAAATACCCGGACAGACAGACACAGACACGCACACACCGTAATCGTCACAGAATGCGTTTTTGCATTGGCATATATGCAAACCCAGGCTGGAAAGCACCGGGCGGGCCCGTGCGATCATACGTTTTCGCCTACCTTTCGCGGTCACTAGCATAAATCATAAATTTTGCATAAAGTAAATGTACAGTTTCCATTTAGCGGTCGTTCTTTAAAAGTAACCTGGCTGTTCAACAAGAAATTTTTCTGCCAAAACTTTTAAGTGCTCGTACTTAAGAATCACGCATACCTCAAAGCTGAGTTTGAAATACATAAGTTGTACTTGGACAGGTAACATTCTCCTAAAATTTCAGTTTTCTAGCCTTTCTGGTTCCCGAATTAATAATTTTCCCGCCAGAACTTTCATACGCCCTTACGTGAGTACCGCGCATAGCTGCGGGCTGAATTTGAAATGTTTGAATTGCACTTGGACAGCGAACATCCCCCTAAAATTTCAGCCTTGCAACTTTTCTGTTTGCTGAGTTAGCAATTCTCTCGCCAAACCCTTCGTGCTCATACTAATAACCACGCGTACCTGAGGGCTGGATTTGAAATATTTAAGTTTTACTTGGACAGGGGACATCCCCCAGAATTTCAGCTTTCTAGCTTTCCTGGTTTCCGAGTTAGCAATTTTCCCGCCAAAAATTTTGTACGGCCTTAAGTGAGTACCACGCATTTGAAATCTTTAGCTAACACATGCACAGAGAACATCCCTACAAAGTTTCAGCATTTTACGTTATTTGGTTCCTGAGATCGCTTCCCCGCCAAAAAATTTGCATATTTTTTAAAGAGTCCATTCACGGCATCCAGCCGCCAGCGGGTGATAATATTACCCTGGCTGGAACGCACCAGGTTCTCCAGTGCGATCGTGCGTTTTTGCACTAAACTCGTAGATCGCTATTAGCGGGAATGATCCTACGCTGTAGCCTAACACTTAGGCTAATATTGTCGGTGCTTTGATCCTTTCTGACATGCGGGAGGAAGGGCATCAGTTGAGATGAAGGTGATGCATTATGGAGCGGCACAAACATCAAGTTGCATGATTACCGGTTTTTTGCATGAAATCCGGTCGTTTTTTCGGTAAATGCTCGCTTTGTGAAAA